TCTAAAAATGTTCAAATTAGGCTGAAAAAACAAAATCAATTTTTCGATTATTCTCGATAAAAAAGTTATCGGACGATTTATCGAAAAAATAAAGCAAACTCGTACTGCGTATGGTACTCACGAGTATGCATGCCAAATTTCAGCTCTCTAGCTCTTATAACTTCTGAGATCGACGCACTCATACGGACGGACGGACGGACGGACGGACGGACGGACGGACGGACAGACGGACAGGGCTATATCGACTCAGCTCGTCGCGCTGATCAAGAATATATATACTTTGTGGGGTCTGCCACGCCTCCTTCTGCCCGTTACATACTTTTTCACAAAACCATTATACCCTGATTTCCCATTTTCAATGGGTTCAGGGTATAATAAATTGAGATTCCATTTGGGAATTTTGTCGTGTCAGCAACTGTAAATCGCATTTGAAATGAGCTCAAAGCATTAAATTGACAATTTAAATATTGAACATAAAATTTGCATGATTGGAATTAGCATTTTTGGCCACTTTAGTGTTTACTTTGTGACAAAATAAGCCAAATTAAAACTAATTATTTAAAAATTATGTGCATACTAATTTCATAATAGAAGTGAGAAACCAAATCACTTTCTGACTGAGCAGCGCTCAACACACGACATTGTTTGCTCGCTCATCTGTGTGAGGGAGTCACAACTACACACACATACACACGCATACTATGACAGTTAACTGCAAATTGTAGCTGTAAAGCGCAAATGCAATTTTCCAGCAACAGCGAAATTTCCACTTAAAGTTGCAGTTATGCAAATGCATTTGCCCCTTTGCATGTGCATGTGTGTGTGTGGATCGTGCGTGAAATTAAATTATCCCTCGATGACACAGCGCGACCCGCAGAGCAAATTGAACGAATGCGTCAAATGTTATCTAAACTTTTAATGAACGGAAACTGTCAACTGATGTTAATTGGAATTGAATAGACAAAGTCATTTGGTTAGTTATGAAACAGAAATTGCCACATTATTTCAGCCAAGAACAATTAGGAAAACTTGGCCATGGCCAAAAGTTTGAGGGAAAAAGTCAAATTTAATAATTGGCCTCCTCCACAGGAAGTTTTCCAATTGGTCTTTTTGCTTGTTTACGTTGAATTTATTTAAAGTTAATTTGACAGAAATTGAAATTCAGGCGGCGAAAATGGGAAAATGGGCAAGAAAAAGAGCAGAAGAGGCAGAAAAACTTTGCAACTTTGATTGAAACTCGAGGCGGGGCTGAGCAGTAAAATGGACGCTCCGTGGCATTTACTTCCAGGCCATTAAGACACAATGACACACGCGGCTGTTGAAGAGGCCAAGTGGGCAAGGGGTCGCGGGATATAGGGGTCTCTGGGTCTAGGGGAAGGGCGGCCTTTGTCTAAACTTTGGGCCAGATTTTGCCTGTCTGGCCCTGTATTGACTTTTTTGTCGCCTCTGACACTGCAGACCCTTGTCATCGGCGAGGGCGGGGGGAGTGGTGACTGTGCCGATAATATCGAGCTTGGATTGTGCCTAATCACAGAGCTCGAGCCGATGGCAGCCGTCGACTACAGCACAGCAGAACGAATCCAAGCAGAGCTCTGTCTCCTTATGCCCACCCAGATTATCATTGTCAAAGCCAAAATCATAATAAATCATTCGGTTCCAGCTGGAGCAGAGGAAAAGACAGCAAACAAAGCAAATTCCTTAAGACTTTCCGAAGAGTCTTCAATTAAGTATTTGCCAACTTGCAATTCCTTTGTAATCATGTTCCCTCTCCTGTTTCTTCTGAGAGTAGAGTAGAGAGGGACATAAACCAAATTATAATAATCCGCTTTTTTCTCACAGGTGATGCTGCAGCTAATGGCCAGCTTGAATTAGAATGAGAAGAGGCTGGTCCCTCCATTCCCATTATAATTTACAAGCAGATTAAGAAATTAATGGGCCTCCAATGTGGAGGACGGAGAATGGAGTGGGGTGTGGGGCTTTGTTGGGCTGACTTGTGGTTTTTCGAGGGCTTTGTCATTTTTCATTTTTAATGTGCGCCACGAGCCAATCCGAGTTGCCTCCCATGAAAACCAGATAAGTCGAAGTCTTTAGCGATAGCAGAAAATGATTCACTCTTAGAAATTATGAGGTTGGCTTTAATTGAGCTGCCTTTATGGGAAGTTCTAGGAAATGAAGCAAACACTTTTCCACAAAGTTTGCGCTTTGTCGTAAACATTGACTGAGCAGCTTAGCCATTGCCGGGCCATAAAGGTAGCCACGAAATTAAATAGGTCCTGCCACAGGCAGACAATGAGATAACTCCATTGAGGCTGCAACTAACAAGCAGATTGGCCATCGTCAAAGAGGACCAGGACAACAAGGACAATAAGGACAACTACCTGGCGACAGCCAGAGACACTGACAACGCTTTATATTCTATTTATGAGCCACAGAAAGTCGAGCAATAGCAACAACACAATGCACAGAAGGTAAACTTAATTTCAGTCAGAGAACAGAATAGAATAGAATGGAATGGAATCAAAAGGCAGAGACAAGCAAGAACAGTTGTATGGGGCTTAGTTTGGCATTGACTGGCTTCCGTTTCCGCCAACACTGGCGCTGAATGCTGTTTCCTGTGAGTTAGCAGAGCCAGAGCGAACGACTCAGTCAGGCCAGACATTGAGGTAGTCAAGTAGTCAGCCCGTTAGTCTGCTTAGTGGGTAATTTGCAATTGGCATTGAGGCGCTAGAGGAGGCATGGCAAAGGCAGAGGCGAGTGGCTTTCGCAGTTTAATTACACCTTGTTACACTTTCCGATGGCGCAGGTGAACACATTAACAGCGCAATTCAAGTTGCCAAAGCGAATTATTACGCTGACAGAGTCATAAATATTCAGCTGAGTTTTGGCTTGAATGGCCGCCTATGCCAGTGGAGATAGATTCCAAATAATTGTTGTGTTAATTACGTAACGCAACTGTATTTCGTAAATAATTACTTGCCCAGCAGCAAGCCTGCATGCCTCGGCTCCCGGGCGCATAATTAATGCAGCCAATTGTGTCTAAAATATGACACATACGACCCGTGGGCCATGCAGATTTTCATAATTTGTAACGCGGCAGCTGTCGCGCTCGCTGCCTGTAATAAATCATCAGAGTGATGCATATGTAGAGCAATAGCCGAGAATTCGCACTGAGTGCCCTCAGGGCACATTTGAATGGATGCTGCAGCGTGTTTACATTTTTTATACCCTGAACCCATTGAAAATGGGAAATCAGGGTATAGTTGTTTTGTTGAAATGTATGTAACAGGCTGAAGGAGGTGTGGCAGACCCCACAAAGTGTATATATTCTTGATCAGGGTGACGAGATGAGTGGATTTGGCCCTGTCCGTCTGTCTGTCCGTCCGTCCGTCCGTCCGTCTGTCCGTCTGTCCGTATGTTTGAACGTGTCGATTTCAGAAGATATAAGAGCTAGAGACTTCAAATTTTTTTTAAATGTCCGTAATTACAGCGCGGATATCGAGTTTATCATTAAAAATCGATAACTCATCCCGATCTTTTTCTATCGATAAAAACCTTATCGAAGAGCAGTTATAAAATTATATCTCCTACATCTTTAAAACTAGAGTCTCCAAATTTTTAATGGATACTTATATGCATTTTATACAATTTCGGTTTTTGTTAAAATGTACCCCCACCTCTATATTCACCCCCTCACCATCACTTTGGTAAAAGGCGTATTTCAAATACTAGAGACTTATGCTTTAGCAAATACATGCATATCCATGTTATAATCATAATCTGAAAGTTTCATTAAGACCGTATGTCCACAAAAAAGTTATTAAACAATTAAGTTCTCATAGTAAGCGCACACTGCGCCCATGCGTGTTTATGCTTGTGTGTGTATGTGTTTGTGTGTGTGTAAATGTTTGTGTATGTGTGTGTGTGTATGTGTGTATGTATGCCTGTGTGTGCGTGCGTGCGTGTGTGTGTGTGTGTGTGTGTGTTCCTTGTGTAAACTGAAAGCCGCGAAAAATTATTGAAATAGGTATTACTCCAAGGGTTCAGGGGATCTCGTAGTCGAGCAGTCTCGACTAGAGCTTTCTTACTTGTTTTTTGCCTTGAATCGTGATACCAAGGCAGGCATTGACTGACAAATATCGTTGAATGGATTGCTGCGCAATGAAAAGCAAATATGGGCGTAGATAACTATTGTATAATGAGAGGTGGATGGGCGCGGTATTGAGTCGTGTTTGACAGCCACATGAGTTATGAGCTCTTGACTTAACTACAGTTCTTGGCAGGTCGCTGCTCGCAACTGCAAATCATTTGTCATCATTTATATCGCAGAACAAGAAAAATCGCCAAGCCGCCCGCCTGCGCTCGTTAAGCGTCCAGCAACAACAACAATGGCCATTAACAAGAACTATAAAACAAAACGAAAAACGAAAAAGAAGCAAATATGGCCGGGCATTCAACACGAAAATCGACTGAAAAGCAATTATTTACACTCTGGCAATAAAAAATATGCCACAGGCTGTGCCTCCGCCTCCCATCACTGCCACGCCCGACTCGAGTCGACTCGACTTGCAACGCATAAAAGCGAACAGAAAAATTGTGTCAAAAATTTGTGCTGTAAAATTTATTACCTTTGCCTTTGGCTGGCTGCGCCTCTTCTTCTCTTCGATTGCATTTTGGGCGTCCCGGCCAAATTTTTATGGCCTCTGGCCTGACTGATAGAGAGAGAGAGAGAGAGTGTGAGAAAGTGAGAATGAGAGAGAGGGAACTCAACTTTTGATTTTTACGAGCTTGACGTTTTTAAACGCCGAGTCGACAAATCCAAATCTCAATTGAGCCTCACTCCTGAATAGGCCAGGGATTTCCACAAAAGCCAATTATGAAAATGGGAAAAACCCAACGCTCGCATCTGCCCACATCTTGACGTTGACATTTTCAATTTGTCGGCCATCAACGGAAGCCGTATAATCAATCAGCTATAATGTATTTCTCTGGCTTGCTTACAGGCCGAAAATGCTGCAACGCCCGCATTGGCATTGGGCCACATAACGGAGTCCCTCCCCCACCCATTCAGCATCCTCAGCGAGGCCGCGTGTTGAGTCGAGTGTGTTTCAACCATGGCGGCGCCCACGTCAATGGAAATCAGCTGCTGCCTGGTGCTGCTGCTCCTGCTGCTGTTCATCCACAACGGTAAGCCCAGGACACTTCTCACATATTCCAGCTGACTCTGATTCGCTTCGACAGGCTACTGCATAGACTGCTTCAAGTGCGTTTCGAATAACGGCGCCAACAGGGCCTGCGACGATCCATTTCATAACAACTACTCCACCGCCATCCTCGAGTCGCCCTGCATGGGCGGTCGCAAGGGCCGCGACGGCCTCTTCCCGGCCACCGCCTGCATTAAGATCGCCGGCTACTATGGTGAGTGGATGCTCTACTAAATGTGAATTGATAATATTATTGAGTTGCACTCGGCACAGATGACAACGGCGAAACGATAACGGTGCGCGGCTGCGCCCTGGACAGCGGCACACTCACCACAGACACAGAGATCATAAGAATGTCGCATTGTGGAAAGTTCTACTATGACAACAGGTGCGTGAGCTAGACAAATATATACATATGTATGTAGATGTACAGAAATATTAATATATCCTTATACATATATTTTTGGTTATGACATGCGTGAAATTTTATGAGGTGATTGGCACAGGTCTCTTAATAACGCCATAAACAGGGCGCATTTGAATTTGCCATAACATTTTATGAACTGATACAATTACGTGATAGGCAGTCAGGCAATTTTGCTCCTGATTTGCAATAAACGATATGCGTTACGATAAAGATTATGTTAAAGTACTGACAGTTAACATAATATGTTAATGCTCTGCACTTATAACAGACCACGTAACGATAGCAGGGCTGTTAACTACAGCAGAAGGCAACATCTTTACACTATACAAATTTGAAATTTCCAATAGCCTGATATCACACTAAAGCAGAAACATATTTTAACAATTTATTATTTTAAAGTATTTTATTTTTTTCATACACTGCATGTGCCATTTACATACAAATACAAATTTGAGTTAAGCCAACGCGCTTGGCCTGTTTGTTCGCCGATGCGCGCAAGTTAAATAGGTCTCATGATTTAGCCATCTTACCGTGGCATTCCTATAATTCTCCCTTGCTCCATGACATATATTAAAAGGCGTGCAGTCGAGCTTTAACGAAATTCACATGTTACCTTTGCGCTGAGCATGCTGACATTAATATATTCCCATTGTCGCAGCCATAACTTAACATTATCTGAGCTACCCGTTCTTCCATTTCTTTCAGATACGTTCACGGCTGCCTTCAGAGCTGCAGTGATGCGGACGCCTGCAATGGCAGCCACCCCAAGGACGTGGAATCCTTGCTGCTTAGCGTTGCGTTGCTGCTTTTGGCAACTGCAAGGTAGCAGTAACAACAACAACAGCAACAACAGTTATAATAATGGGAAGCAACAGCAAATAGAGCTGTAGCTAGCGACCCATGAAAGATGAAGGAAGGGATTAAGCTAAAGTGAACGTGAAAAAAGCATTTAATATAATTCAGCTGCGCGAAAATATTTGTACACATTACATCCGCTGCTCTATCTGTATCGTCTCTCTCACTCTCTCTCTCTCTCCCTCACCAGCTATTGTGTGTCTAGATCTATCTCTCCCACTCTCTCAGTGTCTACAATTGCACATAACAGTAATTGCGCACAAGGATAACACAGGATAACATGGCAGAAAAAAAAATGAAATAAAAACAATGTGAAGCATATTTATATGGAATTCATCAAGCAATTATGTGATTTATAAATGAATATTTAACAACTATTTAACAATAACTGATGGAAAAAAAAGAAAAAAAAAAACACTTAAACAAAACGAATATTAAACAACTTAATTTAAACTCTTTACCTATAAAATACAAATAAAACGCAAAGCGCTCCTAGGTAATTATCGAGTCAAAATCAAAGCTAAAAAAAAAATGAAAAAAAAAAAAGAAAGAAACGAGAATTCAAATTCAATTGCAATTATTTTTAGCGAATAATTAGGTACATATTTACATTTTGAATTACAACTCACCTGTGTATTTATCGCTCGAATACTGTAAATAGATGAACTCATTCGTTAGGAATTGCTGAATTTTAGGCAAACATTTGTTAACAATTACGAGTATATAAAAAATAATCTAAAATTAACGGCCATCTAGATAGAGTTAAACAATGTAGAAAACTGCGAAACGAGCTGTAAATCAATATTGAAAACTATGTTATTTATTAAGAATTTCATTAGTCAAAAACTCGTACTTTATCAAATCGTTAATCATTTTTAAAGCAAATTCCAACATGATTAACACAGTTCTTTTATGCTAAGTGAATCATATCAGGAAAGGTAAAATACAAATGTATTCAGTTTATGATTTGCTTAGATAATTTATTCGTGAATCGATTGTTAACTGCGCTATCGCCAGTTCCCTAATGCCGAACCAGATAAGATTTCAAATGAAAAAACTTCCATAAGCAATATTAGCTGGCTGCCTTTGGTAACCCTTAGTACTGATACGAAAGCCGAGCAGAATGTCTGGTAAGCAGTGGGGCATGAGCTCATAGCTCTGGTTGCATAATCTAACACCTCCCACTGATCCTTCGCAGTCCACACTTGGTTACACTACAGCCACGGCGCCGTGCCCCAAGATGCCGTCGTCGCTGGCCACGATGCCGATGGCGACACCATCTTCATTGGCCGTGCATTCCAGAACAACGATTTGCTGCCGGCGAAGGTCATACCGAACAAGGGCAAGGCCTATGTGGCCTATGGCGGCAACGAGATCGAGCTGGAGAACTACGAGGTGCTGAGTGGACAGAACTACATATGGCTGTCAGGCGCAAATGGCGAGGTGCCAATCGGTGCCGTTGAGGTAGGTCGCACCGTGGACGGCGAGACACTGTACGCTGGACGCGGCTACCATGCCGGCAGCCTGACCGTGGGCAAGGTGCACCCCTCTCACGGCTGCCTCTACATACCCTTCGGCTCCGAGGAGGTCAAGATATTCGCGTACGAGGTGCTGTCCCGGAACGCGCGTTAAGCGTCTGTTAACATATTTAAATCATTTTGTTGTGCAATAAACTAAACCTTTGTAGAAACTATTCTACCGCCTTATCTTTGTGTCCGATTATCCGGCGGAATAGTTTACTGCTTCATCCACTTGTAGTTATCGCAATATGCCGTCATAAGGCGCCTTCTTTGGTCTTTATGATCGGCTTCTTCAGTTTCGCAGTTGTGTTTATTTTAGTTAACTCTGGCCGGGAGGGAGCTAAGGAGGGGTAATCTTATATTGTACGACAGCAGTTCTTAGTTAACAATTAAAAGAAAATGGAATTAAATGATATATAACTATGTAACATTAAGTTTTCGACTTGAACAACCTACATTAAGCCTAAATGTTTAATTAAAAGTCTAACTACATTTTACGTATTCAAATGGAAAATGATAAACCAATAGGACCAAGCTATATCTACGTGCGAGGCTTAAGAGAACAGCAATAGCATTTTATAAATGAGAATTGTGAATAGTGAACATACGAATATAATGGCATTTCACAACTCGTTTCTGTTTCAAAATACATCACTTCATTTTATACAAAGCGAGCTTGCAATGGTTTCCGCATTCGAATATCAAAACATCTTTATAAAACGATTGACAAAAAAAAAAAAAAACAAATAAGAGAATAATAATAATTATTATTATAAATTTGCACACGCTTTTGATAAGATAACAAAATTTTGCTGAAATCGCTTGCTTGCAATGCAACAAAAGTATTTAATCAAAATGAACAAGTTTTTTATAAGCTAAGCACCTGATTGGCTAATAACAGAAATAATTGAAACTCTTCAGCACAAATACAAAATACAAAATATTCATAGCTACATATAATGAACGACCAAACAAAGTGTATAAATTGAAAGTTTCATGGCAAACAGTTGCTAAACATTTTTGAATGCAAATGTATTTAGCACCTAAGAAGTTTATATTTATATTTAAGCGCAAGCGGGAATCTAGATAATGAAGCTACTAAAACTAATCGAATTGAATTAAAATTGTTTCTTCTTCTGCATTTAAGTGCGGGCGAACAACTTTTTCTAGCGCTAAGATAGAACACACACGAGAACTATCAAAATTTCTAAATAAAAACTGCATACATATATTGACATTTCAATGTTTCACACGTGTTTCACTAAGCCTAGGCATATTTACAGTCTGGGAGAGGGAATTACACTAATCTAAAAGAGTCTTAACATAGGCAGCATCGTCCTGTGCAAACTTATCGGCCTGCTCTGCTGATACTTCTACGCTATGGTAATTGTCCAAGCCAATTTCTTCCTCTTTCCTGCGGAGATGCAAAGTTTCCTAGTTTAGTTTTTATGGGGGATTTACAACTCAGTTCGTACTCACTTGAGCAGAATATCGACAACATTCTCACACGCCAGCAAGCACTCGCTATCTCGTCCCACTTTCGCCTCCCATTTGTGGTACTCCCGCAGTACCTCGTAGACACCCTTGGCGCGCAGCACCTCGCGGCAGCGTCTCGTGGCGCAGAGCTGCAGCAGGCACTCGAGCAGCATTTTGCGCAGATCCGGATCGGATTCACGAGTCTTGCTTTCTGGCAGGTACTAAGAGGAGTATACAGAATAAATCGAGCCCACTGTATCAGTATTGCAATATACGCACCTGCAGCTCGATGGGCAGCTTCTCGTTGTCTTCGTCACTGAACTCTTCTGGGCCGCACAGCGACTGCAATATGGCCACCAAAATGTCGTCCTGCTCATTCAATATGATATCATGGTACACCACATCAAAGCATATGTTCTTTATGATGCCAATGGTGCCGCCGCGACGCACCACACTCTCCTCAAACGAGGCAAAGGGCAGCAGCTTCTCCAGCAGCTGATACTTTGGCTGGCAGCAGATCTCTCGGCCACGCGACACTTGAGTTAGATTACAAAATATTGACGCCAAGTAGTGAAGTTTGCACTTTTTCTTATTATAATCCAATTTGGCAAATGCTTTCGCCAGTTGCAACAGCGTCGGCTCCAATGTGTCCAGTATAGCCGGCACCAGCGACTCGACGCGGGTCAAGTTACTTAAGACCATGCTCCACGCATCGGCAAGCTCTGCCTGCTCGTCGCTTATTTGCTTGGCGGCCACATCCGCAATGGCAAAGCGCTGTGCAATTTCCGTGTTTAGTGAGTTTAGGCTTTAGTTTATTATTCACTTACGGGCTGCACTTGCTGCGCCAGCTCAAAGACTTTGATAGCGCCTGCCTCCTCCGCCGTGAGATTTATCAGGCTGAGAACTGCATCCTTTGCAACTGTGGCATTGGCATCCCGCGTCAGTCCAAAAATGGCCATTAGCATATCATCTAGCGAGAGTATTGCGTCCTTTCCCTCTGTGCTGCCAGTCAAACCTAGGAGATTATGAAAACACAATTTAAATAATAATTTGCATTGGCCATCGAGCACGTGTTGCATTTGCCGCACATTCTTCCAGCTGCGCCTGCTCTGGACATTCACCTACTTAGCACATGTGTCAATGCAACTGCCTTCAAATCCAGGCGCTGATTGGGTTGCATAAATTGCACTAGCTCTTTTACAGTCTCCATGCTGTGCAGTTATTGTCAAAACACATTTATTTAATAATTTGTGTACTTTAAACGGCGCGTAGTGTGACCGTATGCAGCCTAACATAAAAATACGTAGTTTCCGTGGAAATATGAGTACCAGCTGTTATGTTAAGATCTGCTGTTAACAGGTTGTGTTTTCGTTTAATAAACGGAGCGTCTGTTAAATGGTTGATGTCTTTGCTTAATAGAGAGTCGGTCACTTGCTAACACATAGACGTTAGCTGTTATACGAGCATTTTTCTAAGCTTCGTTAAAATTACAAGGCGACTTCGTCAAGCAAAATTGAAACATTTGTATCGATGGTTGTAATCTCTGCTAGAGGTATTGGTCACTTGCTAAAAATTCAAGCAATCTGTTATACCAGAATCTTCTGAAATCTGAATTCGCTCATGTTTCAGTTGCCACTTCATTTCATATTCCCTTAATAGTGGAAATAATTATAATGGTCTGAAACAAAAAATGTTAGATGAATTAAATTCTATTGTATCAACCTTTTTAATGGTATTTTTTATGACATTTTACTTAAAAGACAATCTTATAGAAACTATGATAAATATATAAATACTGTGGCATTGGAGTAGAACCAGGATTTCTGTTAAAGGATAACAGCAAGTATAACAGTCGAATTTAATCGTTTTCTATTGCTTCCTATTAGAGGCTCATTGTTATGCAAAAATATAAGTAACGTATTATTTAAACTGATAATTGATTGAAAAAAAAAAAGTATTATTTCATAAGTATTCCAACAAGTATTTCAATCCGAGTCAGTCAAAACTTCGATTGTCCGGAGACATAACTAATTAACAAAAAAAAAAAAAAAAAAATAAAAAAAAAAAAAAAAAATGTACAAAAGATGGATACTTTCATTTAAAATAAAGGTTGATTCAGAGCAAGAACTATTATCTGGGAAAATCAACTAACTGAGAAATTGCACATAAACTTTTACTCAGATAAAAACGATTCTGGCGATGCAAATCGATGCAAATGCTCAACTTGGCTTGAATTGAATTTAAAGTTTTGCGATTTGATTGCAAAGAGCTGCGACAAGGATACAATCCGAAGACCTCACAGCTGCGAAAGGATCAACAATTGCAATTGAGAAAGGATTCGGCTAAAGAGTTTTGCTCGCCTTTTGGATTCGCTGAATGAATCCCCGAAGCGGCTTTATGCGCAAAACTTTTGCTTGTTATTTTTAATGGCCGGCAATAATCGTTAAATGTGTCGACTGTGTACTCGGCAGCGGTGATGCTGCCGCTGCCGCTGCTGCCACTGCCAACGTCCCAGTTTCTGTTCGGATGCAGCTCAGCAGAATGGCCCACTCCCATCCAGAAGCTCTGCCCAGGAGCCGTCGAAGGGGCTGCTGGCAACTCAACTGAAAATTTCATTTCGTTTCGCAAGAGCTCCGCACCGCACCGCACCGAAGCGAACCGCACCGAAGCGAACCGCACCGAAGCGAACCGCACCATAGTTGGGGCAATGGGTGGGCCGAAAACTTTTTAGACTTTTTGTCGACTTTTCGCATTTTAAGTTGCGGCCAACTGGCAAATGCTGGCTCAGCAGGCGCACAGCGATGGGGCAGGCCTTAGCCTTAGCCTCGGCTCCAGAACTCCCAAATGTTAATTTCATAACCCGATTCGTGCACGACTAACTGTTGTTTCATTTATTTGCGTTCTATGCAAATACCCTGCGCCCACATGCGCCACCCATTTGGGCGTGGCAGCTGCGTGGTTAAAGTCCAAATTTCAGAAGCTATGAGCAGGAGCAGGAGACGGACCATTTTCTACCTGTTTGCATAGTGGCTGTGTTTTTCCTCTCCTTTTTTTCTTTTTATAAATATTTCAGAATTCTAATCAAGATTCAGCTGGTTGGACGCTCGAGGACACTAGCTGCCCACAGCCTCTGCTGGGTTCAGTTCAGCTCAGCGCTGAGCCCATTTCAAACAGCAGAAAATGTCGTGTTGATTCTGTTCTGGTGGCATTTTAATGTCCTGCCAAAAGCGCCATTCAAAAGCGAATTAAAACGCTGTGTAGGCCAATATGAACAGCTCGTATGAACTGGATACGTTTTTAAAGTAGTAAATAGAGACAATTTAGGGAATAGATCTTTTGGGCTACTGCAGAATCTGTACTCTATATTATCAATAAAATATACAGCACAGATATTGCAGTAGCCCCAAAAATCTAATAATTTTAATTTCTAATCCATCAGACTCGCATCATAAAAGTATCAGAAAAAAACATAGAATGGAAAAGTAATAAATTTTATTTTCTAGATTTATATAAATGTGGCAGGCATACATACCCGTAGATAAAATATTGCAGTGTAATTATCTTATTATAAAAATTAAAAACAAATATAAAAAGTTTTATATTTAATACAAAGTTGTAATTAATGTGGAAAAAAAAACAAGTTTGTAGGAAATATTTTTAATATTTAAATATTTTTAATAATTAAATATGATATTTA